GCTTTAGATTCGTGCACCCTCTTCGCTTTCTCACTTGTCGAAGATTGCCACGTCCTTTGCATCATGGCAACAAAATATGGAAGGGAGTTGGTGGCTTATAGGAACAGATTTGCTGGCCACGCAATGGGGCGAAAATGCCCAAACAAATACGGGTCTACAGCACGGGGCACACATCACTATGAGCTTTTTAATCTCAAACATGGGGCACGCCATACATGTTATCCACGAAAGGATCCGTTGTTATCAAATCCCGGCTCACAATGTCCAACCGGCGGCAAGTTTAAATTCAGCCTGGCTTTTCTTCAAGGCACGGTGATCCACAGGGGCACCACTCGACGCCTGTGATGCGCAAGTGTGGAGGATCGATCTTTAGCAGGAAGTGGCCTTCGCACGTGCACGTGCCAACTCTGTCCCAATTGAAATTTGGATCAGCCACGGTTGCGAATATGCTCCCCAACATTGAAGCAAAATGCATGTAGACCGACAACATTGGGTGTCTCCTGTATATAACTCACCTAGATTGTGGCCAAGTCTAGCCTACAATGGCTTGCTTTGGTGTAATGATGTGGCCGTGCAGTCAGGCAACGATGTGATTCATGCTCCCTGTGTATTAATGTTATACATAGAAGCCCTGCTGACAGCGTAGTGGCATCAACCCGTATGGGAAAAAGTTCTGCGGCCCTGAGGCCGCAGTATGAGATCCATGTTCTTTCACTTTGATGATTTCAAATCATTGGCGTTGGCCCACTTGCATGTCTCCCGGATTCGCGTGGCCAACTGCACTTCATTGTCTGGCAAATTGTTGGCAGAGTGAACGCACAGTCGTGTTATCATTGTGCTGGACTACTGACTACTTCAATCTACTTCACATTTTTTAGTTGCGTATATATCTTTTTACATTTGAGCAGTTAGGGCACAGGGGCGAAACCTACAACCAACAAAACCAAAACACCACCAACCAATCGTGAAACAACATGCGACGGCTATCATGCTACCGAACCGCCAAAAATCACAACCACAACCCCTATACCAGCCTGACGTGCGCCCAAAGTAACTTTACTGCGCCGCCTCACCAGGCCATCGTGCCCCACTTCCAAAGCTCCACACCACCATGACGTATAGAGACCGCACCTGAAAACCAAAATCACCGTGCCCATACACCGCACCATCGTATCGTACCGAAAAAACACCGCACCACCGTATCGCACCTCATACCGTGCCACGTATACTTAATGGTCCCTTTTTACTTGTTTATTCGTAACCGACGCATAAATAGGACTATAAGTAGAAATACGTAGCTTACGTATAATTTCTGCTTGACCTACGTACAAGTTACTTGAAGTTGAAGTTACTTAGAGGATCTTATAGGTAAGTTGGCCTACTTGCTCAGTAGAAATAAGTAGCAAGAACACAATTAAGTACATATCCATGTAAGTAGGCTAAGTATACTTATATCTACTTAGTTCTACTTACGTGCTACTTATTTCTACTTAACCTACTTATGATCAAACTGTGTGTTTAACTGTAATTTTACTTTTCTTGTTTTTTGTTTTGTTGCTTTTTTTGACATTTTGCGAGTTTATGTATTCGATTGAAAATTATATTTTTGTAAATCTATTTGTTTATTCATATTTCTCTTGCTTTTTCAATGTATTTTTTTCAGTTGTCATGGTCTTGATAACGGTCCCCGCTAAAAACTTTTCTTGGGTGAACTTCTTGAGCGGCGTGCGTGCTTTGATTTTTTGGAAGCGATGTGTCCGCTGCCTGTTTCTTTGTAAGCGGTGTGTCCGCTGGAATCCCAAGGAGAAAAAAAAGAGGTGCATCTTGATTCATGATGCATGTTTGCCGTTTTTCGTTGTCGTGGCGTCGTGGTGCAAACTCTTTTGGGCATCATTTTCCCGCGTATCTCACGGGTATCTATCGGATATCTATAGGGTATCTATACGGTATCTATACGTTTTACAGCCCAAAAGGTATCCGGGAATCTATAGGTATGTACAGGCATCTATACAAACCCATGAAAATCTGGATAAATTGGTTCCGGGTATCTATGGGTATCTATAGGTATCCATCACGATGCACACCATTATACATGGATACTTTTGGGTATCTATCAGGGGCCCGCAGAACCAAAGCACAGCGCAGGGCGCCATTTCATTTTCAATCATTTTGCCACCCAGAGGAATCTGGTCTCGAAGGCTTGACAAGCACGTATAGCTTCAACGGTGCTTTCTGGTCCAGCATGTCTGCCCAACCCAGGCAGACAGAGGGTGTGACCGCTGTGGCTAGTTGATGTTGCAGCGGTGTGTCCGCTCTTGTTTACTGTTGCTAGTTGATGTTGAAGCGGTGTGTCCTCTCTTGTTTACCAAAAAACGCATGTTTTGCAATCAATTTTGAAGAAAAATCAAAAACAATAACTTTCTTACAACAAACAAAATCGAAATAAACTAAAGAAAGACATGTTTTTTTTCGCTACCATACCTAAAGTATCAAAAACAACTCCTTTCAAGGCTGTTCTACTTATTTCTACAAATTTGTACTTATAAGCTACTTACAACCTACTTATTTCTACTTATCATTAATAAGGATTTTAAATAGGCGCAAACTGGATCATAAGTGGACCTTAAGTAGCTTAAGCAGCGGTAAGTCACTTAAAAGTAGACAACAAGGAAAGAACCATGTCGTAACCGTACCGTACTACCACATGTACCACCGTACCGTACCACCGTACCACCGTACCGTACCACCGTACCGTACCTCAAAACCACCGCACCACCGTACCGTACCACCGTACCGTACCACCGTACCGTACCTCAAAACCACCGCACCACCGTACCGTACCACCGTACCGTACCCCGCACAACACCGCACCGTACCTTACGTTCAGGCACCTGCCCGGGTACCCTCCCACAGCACTTTTGAAACAACATAAGCTCTATCATTCCAAAAGATTCCAAAAGATTCCAAAAGATTCCAAAAGCACAAGTTGTCCTCATTCTGCCGCAGCCAGCGTCTTACAGTGGAGACCTGCAACAAGCTTCAGCAAGCTGTCATCAGAATCCCATCCCTTGCCCTCAATGGCCTCAGAGGCCTTGAAGCAAATGATGATGGCCCGGCCACCCAACTCCAGCAGCTGAAATGCTGCGGACAGGAGCTTCTCCAGCCTCAAATTCCCCGGACCCAAGGAAACAAGACCATCAAGACCAGTGTATGCGGTACCTATCGGTGCGCGTTGATGCCAAAAAAAGCGTGCGCAATTGGATGATGAGGGCCCATTGGTGGAATGATATATATATATATATACGTACTTTGATTCTGCAGGAAGCGTAGGAAGCACAACACATACAACACCTATCATCTGGGCTTTGCAGCCCAGGACATCATCCCCATACTGCACAGCAGTACCTAATTGATGGGTTTCGGTAATGCTTCCAACCATGGCTCCGGACTGTTGCAGTTCCTGGTTCAAGTGTAAACGAATGGCCTCCAGGTCGAGTTGCTGCCCAATCTCTGGACAAAACTGCATAGAAACGCATACCTTCCAAAAAATCAAGAAAGACCCCTCTAAAGTGGCATTTATTTCCATATATTCCATAAATACCCGATAAGTAGACCATATCTATGGGGATCCAAAGAAAATCAACAAAGACGGCCTGGAACGTCAGCCTCGCCGGCTGTTGAAATGGGTTGCTGCCCAAGGTCTGTTCCTTCACCTCTGCTACGACCTAGGCGAAACCATTGCCATAAATGAAGGTTTTTAGTGGGACCATCATATTGAAATGGGAAATCATTGGAAAACATTGGGATCTCATTGGAATAACATTGGAATATCATTGGAAAATCATCACAAACATGGCAGTTCGATACAAATTTCCTTCAGTTTGAAGATCAACCACCTACCGTCCTTCCCCCCAACAGCCCCACCTCCGCCAACTCTTTGGTTCGATGGAAGGGTCGCTTTGCGCAAATGGCCTGCGAGCGAGAACCACTGAACCAAGCTGCCAACACATCCTTCAAACATTCAAACCAAACAAAATGATAGTGGAAGGTCCACTATATGCAGCATGCGGTATATGCGGCTTTAGTCTGAAACCCTGATTCTGAAACGTAGCGTTTTTCTTTCGATATCTATGGCGTATCAGCACATCCATATCAGCACCAGCCTCTGCCAGGCGCGCTGCCAAGAAGGCATCTCGATCCTGGATACCCCAAAATATGGCTCCAACTGTTGGTACACTCATGGTGAGTCCCTCCATTTTGGGAAGCTGGAATGACCCCAGCTATGGCCCTTGATGGCCGATGTTTCTACCAGCTGTCCAAAAAGCTCCTCTCCATAGGTATGGATCACCCATGCGAGTTCCTCTGGGCTCCTCAGCACAGAAACTTTGAATATCAAGCATCTGCAGGTGCAGAGTTCACAAGATTCCAGACTGAAAAGGTTGCAGTCAAATGTTTTTTTTTCAATATGTTAGTTTTTCGATTAAGCCTGACCTGCAAAATAATTGTGAATCCTGACAAAAAAAAATCCCAGCAAACACGGATGTGTTTCAAACTCCTCTGGTCCATCGCTAGCAGTGGAGTTGCCAAGTCCAGGCATCCACACACTGTGTCCAACCATTCAGACGCGGGGATTCCGACATCTGGATTCCTTGGGGCCAAAAGAAGTGTGTTGATTCAAGATGGGTTCCTGCAAATTGGCGAAGGCCAATCATCAATGGACAGACTGGGGAACTGAAAGTACTTTTGATATCTGTTGATAGGGACTCCCTAGAAACATGACCTGATTTTGACTTGGGAAGATTCCAACAAGCTGCTTGAAGGTTGTTTACATTGTTTCATCTTGAGTGCAAGCCCAAGACTAAACAGGACTTTACAAGATGCAAAGAGTTCCAAAGCATCTCAACAGATGCTGCCAAGCGGCATGCGCATATCCAAAGGCCCGTCCTAGGCAGGGCGGTTCTGATGCCGTGCGCAGCCTGATGCGTTGATTCAGTTTATGTCTCGGTCCTCAATGGGTGAGAATCCACGGTGCTTCTGGTCCTCGGAGTCGCTTTTTGAGAAATCGCCAGCTGAAACGATCACCAGCTGTTCCATGCTGTTCCTATTCTGGGCGCCCCAACCAATTGGGGGGATGAAACCCCGAGATCCGCAAGAAGCCCATGGAGACGGGTGCCAGGAGGAAGCGCCTCCATGAGTGGATTCCCTACAATGCCTACAATTTCCAAATGGCCACTGGTATCTTAACGTAGTTCTAGAAGCGCAGCATCTTTAATATCTTTAAGTAAATCATCTACAAGGCCATCTTCCACACTTCTGTTTACTGTAATCACCCAGCTCAAATCATCATCGCCCAGCCATAGATTGGGTTTCATGCCCCACCTCTTGAAGATCTCCAAATGCTGCATGCCTTTGCGGAGACAGTACAGTATGATGTCTGTATTTATCTGAAATGTATTTGTGTATGGTTGCACAACAAAAAGGATACTCACAGGCACACAAGCAATCAATCAATCAATTGCCCTTCCGCCCAGAAGGATAACCAGAGTCCATGCATTGAATCGGTTGCATGACATTGATTGTCACATGATGGAGTTCTGGATGACACTTTGACTTTGCGCAACTTCGGTCGAATTGTAAAATCATCATGTTCGTCACGTTTACAATCTCCAGCGCCAACAATCCATCTGACAAGTGTAGCCGAATTCTGAATCGAATTGATCTTGGCAAGTTCACCCTACGTTTTGGCCCGGAGGAAACTTAACTTTGGAAAACCTTAAACGATCAAACGATCATCCCCCGACCTCCCTTTCCCAAGATTATCCAGCTGTGCGGCACAGGAACCAGCCGTGGCTCTTGCGAGGCTAGTCGCTTTGCCTCCGCCAGTGATCCCTCTGAATGACTTCTCAATACCGAAAGCAAACTGTGAAGTACATCAACTGATTCTTATATCTATGAAAATATAATAGTAATAAATTGTAGATCTATGAAGTGTAAATGGTTATAGCTTAATAGCTAGTCAGTCGCCATATGGTGAAGTACAGTCAAAAAAAACAAGTTACACAACCACATTCCCACAGCGCCCAGAAACCACCACCGAAATGCCACAGATCAGGCTGCTGCATTGGGCCGACCTCCGAAATGGCCGTAGGGTCCACATCAAGGGCAAAGACCTTGGCATGGTCTCAGCCAAATGGCCCAAGCATTGAAGGGGTTACTACTTGCTACTCTACTTAAAGCGACCAGGAAAATGGAAACCCCGGAAATCTGACCTTGATTCAGCTGATCTTGAAGGGAATTGCGGGCTTGTGAATCGATTTCTGACGTAAGTGTCCTTTCTTCAATAGCACACATTACCGTGGTGATGTCTTCACATCAGGAAGCAGGCAAACGCTCTGTTTCCCACGAATCGGAATGAGTGAAATGAGTCTTTCTGAAGATGGGGCATACCCCAATCATTGCCATGTCATGGGGAAACCATGGGAAACCATGGGGAAAGCTATGATAAGGCACTGGATTTTGGGGTACCCAGGACTAGGTGCGCGACAGTGGCCCCTGGCACTTCCAGCAGTCTCCTGTGCAGGCCACACCATCCCGAGATACTCGACATAGCAAGGCTGTCATCAACTTCGCTACGGTATCCTGATATCACTGATATCCTCTACATGCAACGGAAGAAAACAAAAAAACAGGTGTCAAACGGGTCAAGTGAACAAGGTTCCATTCATCATTCATCTAATGATCCAATGCCGCCGCTGCTTGGCAGGTCGCCTGGTGTGGCCTCCCCGGCCAAAGGTGGCATCCACCAGGACAGGTGAGGCCGCGCTTAGCTGCAAAGCCTCCACAGAGGCTGAGGCTGAGCGTTGAAAGATGTTGGAAGGCAGTTTCACAGCTTCACATCGCATCCATCCCGGTACATGCGCGGAGGATTGGAAGATAGCTACAGATTGACACTTTTGCAAGCTTTGCATCAGTTTCAGTGGTGAATTTTCTCTGGCCGCGTCAGTTTCTCCACACCTCAACCACCTCATCACACAGGATTGGCCGATGACCATACACCCTGCAAGCTGTGCAAGCAGTCTATACCAAGAAGTTCGAGCTCCTTTGAACCTAGTGGTACTGAATGATACTAAGGCATCTGCTAAACTTTAGATCGAACAGAACAGAAATCCTACATATAATGACATGAAAAGCAGTCTGTGATGGTCAGTGTGTCATATCCAGCTTACATGACAAAGGTGTTATTGTCATTTCCGAGTACCAATCCGCACCAACCTCGCCTGCCATCAAGCTCGGCTCTGTCTGCCATCAGCGCCCCTTTGGATGGCAAAGGCGATCTTTCCTGCAAACAATCATTGTGGGAAAAAAAGGAAAGGATCCAATCCACATGTAGAAATGCTTCACTTTCCTACGTCCCTTCTCAAATTGAGCGCCATTTTTGGGGCCGTTTTTTTCAGCTGTCAGAATGATGCGCGTTGGCTCCTGCGTCTGGTCCGGCTTCAGTAACTCTGACACTGCAGCTGAGACATCTGGCGACAGAGCTGCCCGGGGTCAAGGTCTCTTGTGCAAAGCTCTGGCTATGGGTCAAGCCATTGAGTAGACAAAACTTTGATGCTTATATCAATATTACATATACACTAATATATATATATATATTATACATATATATATTGTATTATATATTCTATATTATATACTATATATCATATATCATATATTATATCATATATATTATATTATATATTATATATTATATATTCAATATTATATATTATATATTATATATTATATATTCTATATTATATATTATATATTATATATTATGTATTATATATTATATATTATATATTATATATTATATATTATATATTTTATACTATA